ATGTAATCTCAAAATCAAAAACGTAAATGTCATCGTCTCTAGTTCTATCTTTACTACTTGCACTGTTATGTAATCCCAGGATCACACGGGTAAATGTTATCATCACTAATTCTGATTCCACTAATCAAACACGGTTAAAGTTCATCTATGAATACTCATCAGTACTCCCAAAAGTCTAGCTCGATACTCGAGCGGCAAGAAGTTTCCAGCCACTGAAATAAACATTGAGCCACTGGTACAAACATCGGGCCACAAAGATAATGGCCACTGGAACGAAGAACATATCTACACGGCAGGAAGATTTCCAGCCACTGGAATAAAACATCTAGCCACTGGTACAAACATCGGGCCACAAAGATAATGGCCACTGGAACGAAGAACATATCTACACGGCAAACGTTTGGCCACTGGTACAACATTGGCCACATGTATAAACATCAGGTCACACATGTAAATATCTGGAACGAAACACATATGTACAGCAACAAAACATCGACTGGGACAATAATCTAGCCTTAGTGGCCAGCCATAAGGCTGCCACCATCCGAGGCCTAGACCATCGTGTCTAGCCTATGTGTCTGTCAGAGAAAGAGACTTCAACATAGTCGCCCTTCCTCATATATAGGTTAGTCTCACCCCCTTATCATCTCCCTAGAGCTATAGAACCCGAGTTGGGCTCCGTCCCATCTCTCAACGTTCGAGATAACACCGGTCACTATGCACCCATGCGTTGCACATCCGATAACTGACCGCTATAGATCTTCACTTTGTCTCAGGGCTAACGATCGTGTCATACACCGCTCGAGCTAACGCACGACCACGCGGTACTCCCGCCACGTTTCACACCTGACAACTGACCACAACAGAGATCCTGAGTAATGATTCTACCGGGACGTCCAGCGGCATGTCCGAACTCAACTTTAGACATAAATCGCCGCGGGTGTCTTCCCAGCATTACGTGCCACTCATGCACCTGCATAGAACTCGCAGCCCTTAACGACCAGAGTGAGCCGATAACCTTTAATTAAATTTTAGATTTCCCCGGCCTGCTCATCCCCAATATCTTAGATTAACCCCTTGGGTTTCTGTAACTAGTCCTAGTCACCTTAGCCCCTTTAATAAGCACCCAAGTTACCATTTCACTTAAAAATAAACAATATAGTACAAGCCAACATGCTTACTTAAGAATCAACAATTTGGTACCAGCCAACATAAATATTAATATATACGACATACACTCTGGTGTGGGGACGGATGATTGATGATCCAGCTGAATAAAAAATCTAAAATCGCTGTAAGCTGATTCTTTAACAGATATAACATGTTTAGCAACCCCAACACATCTCCCCCCCCTCCCCCCCCCCCCCCCCCCCGCGCATTCTATTTTTACACACTGTGAGAGTAAATAATGTAGGCCCTAGCAACGACTAAAAGTGTCATCAGTGTGTGAATGCGTTTGTATGAAGGCGGGGATAGTGAGTTGAATACGGTATTAGATAGTTTATATAGGTCATTTGAGGGAAAAGGCGTTGCTTATTATTTCCTTTAAAGCCAGTATGCTTTCAACAATAAAAAATTCGTTTAGATCATATATTTTCATAGCATAACCTGCTTGATAAAAGAAAATTACAATGCGCTGATTGTTCCACCCCCACCACGTCCTGTTTCTTCACCATAGAATGGCCACCTCTGTATATAGATTGTAAAAAAAAAACACATCACATTGACCTAGCAACTTTAGGAACTACGTTTCAGTCTGGCGTTATGATTGGGGGAGGGGATTGGAGAGGAATGATCAAGGCAAATCTAACACAATTCAAACTATTTTTAGGTGGTTGTATAATGAATTCTAAATTCACATATTTGAAGAGTTAATAGTATACCCACGAAATAAATTTATCTTGTTAGTTAGATATCAAAAATGTCATATCAATTAGCTTTCAGTGTGTGAGTATGCATTGGGCAATTCATCGGGTGTATGCTTGGACATTTTTACCGATTATTGATTTTAAAGCGTAATACCATGCCCATAGGTAAATTGAGAGCACAGTGTGCGAAAAGGGGCGGGGATTATGTGAAAACACCCCAATGTGCGAAGCTGGTCCAATTGCGACCGAAGGGTCTTGTATGCCACGAGTGCTACTTTGATGATGTGTGGGTTATGTGGCGATCGAGGAAACTAATCAGTCAGTTAACAATTTTGAAGCTCCTCCCATATCGAGAACAAACGAACTATTTTTTAATATAACCAATGAAACCTTCGTTTTTAATAGTAACCAATACTAATGCTTAAATATAACACGTTATTTTATATGGTAGGCCCTGTTTTCCGGTTACGTTGTGGGTCAACATTATATTAGGCCGCTTTTATTTCCCCGAATAGCGTCAGGTATTTATTGCAGCTGAGCGGTCTTTATATGCCCAGAAGATTTGTGTCTCTGACCAGTTTGCAACAAAAACTAGACTTGTTGTGATCAGAAAATACTTTGGTATTTTTTAAACTCTACGACTAGATATTTGCCGGACGTAGATGATCAAAATGGCGTCAATTCGTCTTCGTTTGGTGTTTGTTCTACTCAGCATCGCTGGTGCCTTATGCCGGAATTTCATGAAGAAAAGTCTACTAGATGTACACAAGCGATGTGAGTAGTGTTGTCGTCTGCTTCGGTGGTCTCCAACAAGAGATGACGTTTTCTAATTTTATTCATAAAAGCTATGGTTTTTAATCAACCTGTTTAGGTACTTTCATAATAACACTAGCGACACAGATTTTTTTTTAACAGGCTACTGTAAAACTTAAGTTCTGAGACTGTCTGGGATTAAGGATAACACTAACATCACGACTAAGGAAAATAATAAAAGAAATATTTTTGAACGTGTGCAAAAACATCGTGATTCTGTGTGTGACCTCATAATACTTGGAAAATAGAAAAGAAGTAGAAATTTTTTTAAAGCAACCGACGTTTAAATGTAACTAGGGGTTGTTTTTTTTAACATTAAAACTAAGCTGTTTTATAGGGTTATCTGAAGACATTACTGTTGTTTTTTTTTAAATTAAAATTAAGCTGTTTTATAGGGTTATCTAAAGACAGCAGGGTTGTTTTTTTAATTAAAATTAAGCTGTTTTATAGGGTTATCTGAAGACAGCAGGGTTGTTTTTTTTTTAAATTAAAATTAAGCTGTTTTATAGAGTTATCTGAAGACAGTAGGGTTGTTTTTTTTAAAATTAAAATTAAGCTGTTTTATAGGGTTATCTGAAGACAGTAGGGTTGTTTTTTTTAAATTAAAATTAAGCTGTTTTATAGGGTTATCTGAAGATAGTAGGGTTGTTTTTTAATACTTGTAAATCAAAAGCCTGGAATCTAACAAAGTGGAATGTTTGTTGAGGCCTTATGTTTGACAAGGAGTAAAGAGAATTAAGTCAAGTTTTATTGGGTTAAACACGCTTTTTATAAAACAGTGAATTTTTTACTTAAGACTCAACACAAGTTCTCATGTGTTAACAGACTACTGGTCTTCATCCTAATTTAAGACCTATTCGTCAGCAGAAGAAACTTCCGCATGAATTTTTTTCCACTGACCGACAAATATCGGATATACCAGACCCAGGAGTCGTATCTTTCCGTAAGCCTGACTAACTGAAGATATGTCTAAGTTCGGCTAATAGCTAAAAAAAATACTCATGTCATCACCATCCTAGCAGGCTCACGTCCAAGGGTCCTCACAATACTCACATGGTTGTTCTTCCATCCTCTCATAACCGTAGTAAACACTAGGCCCCCGCCGATTGAGACTAAGCTCGACTGACTAGAAAAAAAAATTTGACAACTTGTCAGTCGTGGTCGGCCCTAGATACTAATGATATTATCTTGTAACTCATTTCACCATGGCTAACATCTATTTCTAGCGACGTGCCTGTCCACCCAGTACGCCTGTAGGGACGGGCTCAAGTGTATTCGACAAAAGTGGGTCTGCGATACGACTAACGATTGCAGCGATGGCTCCGACGAGAGAGTCAACTGTCGTGAGTTGATAACATTTCTACTCTCTTGAACAAAGTTTGAAGTTGTTAACATAATGGGTGTGCTGTTGACTAGAACTAGAATTTATTTTAACTACCTTTTGCATACATTTCAAAGTAAAAGAGTCTCTTCATATATATATATATATATATATATATATATATATATATATATATATATATATATATATATATATATATATATATATATGTGTATGTGTGTGTGTGTGTGTGTGTGTGCGTGTGCGTGTGCGTGTGTATCTGTGTGTGAGTGAGTGTATGTGTGTGTATGTGTAGTTACGCTTTATCATATCAATGCGGACTATATTTTCTTTAGTTACATCACCGCTATTGTGATGTAATCAGTAATTGCTAACTTAATTGAACTGCCTACAATTAAACCTGACTCTAACCCATACATGTGTAACCTGTGTCCCTGCCAGCCACTGACTGCTCCCACGTCAACCAGTACCGCTGTGTGTCCGGAGATTGTGTATCACGTGACTTTGTGTGTGACGGTGGCCGGGATTGTATGGACGGCTCGGATGAGTTAAGATGTGGTGAGGCGCCATTTTGTGTTTCTTCTTCTTCTTCGTTCTTAATTTTAGTGTTGGAAGGGATCCCTTCCATCACAATTAAGGATACGTGTCAACTGGTTATGCGCCATTAAGGCCATTGACTCCGATTTCAGCATGATTTACTTTTTTGATTTGCTGCAATAGCTTTGTCCATACAAGAACAAACTACAAGGCAGCAGTTGTTTGAATTTTGAGTTGTCTAGCCTAGAAGAGCAGCTGTCCCCAGCTAAATAGCCTCATCTGCCCGAGGATTCGAACTCGAGACTTTTCGATTTAGCAACCATAAGCTTTACCGTTTCGACCACGCCGTCCTATTTTGTGTTTAATATTGTTGATATATTCAAGTGCAAATCTTGAACTGAAATATGTCAAATTGTAATTTTGTGTGTGTCTTTTATTAGAGGAATTTGTTTGCTCTGAAGACGAGATCAAGTGTGACAACCACATCTGTATAGAGAGAACCTGGGTGTGTGACGGTGAAGATGATTGTGGTAACGGATGGGATGAGAAGAACTGCGTCGGTTAAACGGAATTGATCTATGTCAAAAATTTGATATATTTGATTTTTTCCCCCACACACGTCTCTTAATATCAGATCATTGATCATCCACTAATTAGTCTGAATCGAAAAAAGAAATATCTCCTTATCATCTAAATAAAGAGGTTACCTGCACAAAATAATGTGTTTCTGTGTAGATTTTTTTGTCTAGCAGTTTGTAAACTACACGGATAGTTTAGTGACAAAAAGCGCTAATCTTGTTCGTTTAGCTGATATCTAATGTTGCACATCATCAAAACGCCAACTCTAACCATAACCCTCTCCCTAATCCTATCTCTAATCCTCAATGTGAACATAAACTAAATATAATTTTCACCGACACGCAAGACCTTATTATAGAATTAGTCCTCCCTACATTAAACCTACCTTTATCTTTAATACTAAACTACTATTATTGGCTATCTGCGATTTCCGATATTCGGAAATTCGACCACAGGTCAACCCCCTAAGGTCAAAGCCATACTGTGGTCAAACCACCAATGATTAAAGCCTCTATGGTCAAAACACAGGTAGCCAAAGCACCTAGGACCCAATTTACATATATGCGAGTACGACTCATCGAGCCAAAGTAATCGATAAAGCTTGCCAGGCTCACGTGAAAAGACTTTTCAGTTCTTCATCTCCTCACAACTTACGCTCTCTTTTACTTTCTCGTATACAGAATATGGAAGAAATATTGTAATCGTGCACAAAAATAACATGAAATTTTGAAAGTTTTCATCGTTTTACACCTCAATACTTAATCATATAAGGAGTATAAAGGACTTATTTTAATTAGGCAAAAATAAGAAATGCAGATTTATCAAAATTTCAGCGTTATATGAGTAATCAAGTCGGGAAAACTGGGCTTTGCAAATCTGTCCGTATGTCTCTGTGTGTGTATGTGTGTCTGTAATAACTTGAGTATCGTTACAGCTAAGTTGATGAAATTTCATATACATATCTTTATAGTAATCAAAATAGTAATGTATAATTTACTTTTTACTTTTTAGTACTTTTTAGCTTGTTATTAAAACGGTTTTTAATATAAAAAAATTTCAGTACTTTAAATTTTTTTAATTTACAATATGAAAAAATGACTAAAAACTATCCCCACCTAATGAACGTGATGACGCGTGTCTAATAGTGCGGAATAGTTTGATGAGAAAGCCTTCTAATTTGGACACAATTTTAATTAATTCATAAAACATTAACCAGGCAACCGATTAGGTCAAATTTAATGTTATGTTGCATTGTCTTCATGTCTTGACCCACGAGCCAACGTTGAAACAAATCTGTCAGTTAGAAAAGTCTGAAATTTTGCTCGGGCGTTCCGATCTAGACTGACGACATAGACAGTGAGTTAAATAAAAGCTTTTAGAAATAATCTAATTGTAAAGTTTGATAGGACGATTGTTTGAGTGTTAATTGAGAGGTTTGGGTTCAATCCCCACTCTTAGACAAAACATTATCACTGAGTCAATTTAGCTCTAATGCGTACCTTACCATGCACATCTCAAGCAAACTCTTCCTATGCCTTGACCTATGCTTTTATAAAAAACGTTTTAATAACAAGCTCGTATGTAATCTATATACTACTAAAAGTCAAGTTTGTTTACATGTTTGAATATTTATTTTTTTGTTTGTTTTTTTTTGTTTGTTTTTTTTTGTTTGCCTGATTGACTATCTCGCATGGTTGCACTCATCGTGGAAAGCTGTAAAATAGTATGTAGGTAGAGACAAATTTTTGTTTTAAGACAGACTGTTAATCACACATTTATTTAAAGACGTTAATTAATTTATTGATTTATTCATACGCAGAGTAACCCATTTTTTTTTTAAAGTTTAGAACGACCACTAAACTCGGCGGGACCGTGACGTCACAGTTTTTTGTTTACTCTTTAGTACAATAAAATGGCGGCGTCTATCGAAGAAAATTGTGTTCCCATTCAAAAGTTTAACGCGTTCTAAATCTAATTTTCTGTCGGTCATAACTTTAACAATACGTCCGTTTGCTGTATTTATTACGTTCCAACACTTATATCAATTTTCAACTGTCTTTTTTCATTTAGTTTTACAATAAATTTCTCTAGATCTAAAGATCAGCCGTCGAAGGAAAGTTATGAATCTAGCCTAGATCTAGCCTAGATCTAGGTCACTAGACTCAATGTAAATTCTAGATCTAGGCTTAATGTAAATTCTACATCTAGAATCTATTTCAGGCCTTAATACATCTAGAATCTATTTCAGGCCTTAACTATTTTATATAAATCTTTGTTTGGCTAATTTAAGATAAAATTTAATTTGAAAGTTACTACTACTAGACTTAGATCTAGATCTATGCGCGTAAATCAAGTTGCATAAGGAGACTCAAAGTATAGTATAAAAATTCATTTGTGACGTCACGAGTAAATAGCTAAGTTGGTAGCGTAGTCGGCTCTCATGCGGGTGGCACAGGTTCTAGACCAATATGTCAATGATATTTTTTTTTCAATTTTTTTTTTTTAGATGTGAATGATAAAGTTGCCTATCTGAACTTGGCAGGATACAGGGCAGGTGAAGTAGAGTTCATCTGTTTCTTTGTCCTAAGCATATGAAAGGATAGTGTGGTCAGAGACATGCTCGGCTGGAATCGTTTTTTAAACGATAAAAACATGTTGTCTGAGACTTGGCGGGACACTGGGCAGATGAAGTAGAATTGAGTAGGTCACATATGACGTCAGTATATGAAGGGATAGTCCGAAATCGGTGTTTTCGGTGTTTTTAAAAGATAAAAAACATATTTTTGAATGTGGGGTCTGTTTTTTGTGACGATAAGTGACACTGCAGTAGCGTAGCGAGGAGGGGGGGGGGGGGCGGGAGGGGGAGGGAAGGGGAGGCGGGGGGGGGGGAGGGGAGGCGGGGGGAGGTGGAGGGGGAAGGGGGGGACATATGTTGGGGCGCAAAAATGGTTTGGAAAAATAAATTGAAAGGTTGAGGGGGGTGCAAATCGAAAGTTTGAGTGGGGGGGGGGGGGTGCACATCAAAAGTTTGAGGGGGGGGGGTTGCAAATCGAAATCTTGCGGGGGGGGGGGGGGTTCAAATCGAAAAGTTTGTCCCCGGGCGCCGGGAAGGGTCGCTATGCCTCTGAGTGACAGACGTGATGTTTTTTTATGGATGACCCCCGAAACCCACAGTTATCCAACGGATGACGGGTATTCTAGTAATGTACTAAAAATGAGAAAATAAATTATGCACTACTATTTAAATTACTATAAAGAAAAGCATGGGTCTCTTTCTAAATATTAGTAAAGGTATCCAATAGATACTAAAGTGACCGACGCTTTTCTTTATAGTATTTAAAATAGTAATGTATAATTTATTTTATAATTTTAGTGCATTATTACATAAAAGCTTATTATTAAAACTTTTTTGTGAATATTTTTTTAGTACTTTACAGGTTTTATTTACACTAGATTTGCATGACTAAAAACCATTGCGCACCTATTGAACGTGATTACGCGTATCTAATAGCGCGGAATAGTTTGATGAGACAGCCTACTAATTTCGACACAATTTTAATTAATTCATAAAAAATTAATTAGTCAACACTGATTAAGTCAAATTAAATGTCATGTTACATTGTCTTCATGTCTTGACCCACATACCAACTACGAACTGTATCTGTCAGATAAAGGTGCCTGCAATTTCGCTCAGGCGTTTCTAGCTAGAAAGACAGACTGACGACAGACTGACGACAGAGGAAGTGAGTTAAATAAAAGCTTGTACAAAGATTTCCTCGACGTTAATAAACCATGAATCGTTGATGTTTTATTTATTTTTTATGACCCATTCTTTTCTTTTACTTTATCGTATACGAAGTATAGAAAAAGTATTGTAATCGTGCAAAAGAAATTCGAGATTTTAAAAAATCTCGTCGTTTTACACCTCCCTGAGTCAGAAAAAAACATATCTTGTCCGTATGTCTGTGTGTGTGTTTCTATGTGTGTCTATGGACACGTTAATTTGAGTACCGGTACAGCTAGATTGATGAAATTTCACACACAAGTATTATATCAAATTTCTAGTTCTGTATCAACCTTTCAAAGATTTCCACTAAACGGAAGTGGAGTTTATTCTACTTTCAATTTTTCAAAAGCCTATAGCTTGAGTACTGTTTCAGATAGATAAATGAAATTTCACATGTAAGTAAAAGTTCTAATTACCTTCTTTCTGTCAAATTTCCGATTTCTCAAAAAACGCATGTAAATGTATAAAGTACTAATAATATTGCGCCCTATTATACACATATTGTTTGGCGTTTTCTTGGTGCGCAATTATTTTTCTACGAGATTCTGTTCTATTTTTAAAAGTTTAAGTAATAAAAAATGGATTAAAAATCATGTCTATATCCCGAGTTGCCATCTACTAAGTGTAAATTAGAATATTCGAGAAAGTTTAGGGGAGATACCCCCGGTTTATTTAAATAGTAGTATTATATGTTTGTAACGTTAAGATAACGTGGGTCTGATGCAGAGTGTCTGTCAATTTGATACAGTGGAATTAGTTTTCTTAGGAAAGTCAAAACATTGGAACCGCTTGAAGATCGTAAGGTAAAAATTAAAATTACATTCCTACTGTGATTTTTTTTAAAATGCAGTGCAGTGTTCATACTTTAAACCTTTTTTAAAATGGTAAAATAAAGTCAATGACATCTCATAAGATCGCATTTCGCAAAAATACTAGACATCAATGTGTAACAAGTAGGCGAGCAAACGTATACCAGCAATTATAAAAATTATGTAGACAATATTAGCACAATCTAACAACATTGTTCATACGTTACTTCGAGATAATAAAAAATGCCCCTTATCTCTCATAATACTTTGGTATGATCTTCAAGTGAGAAATATAAGTTGGCATGGTTGGTTAAGAGTTACTCTATTCGCCGTCATCGTATAGTAAAATAACATTTTTTAAAAATGTTTGTCAAATTCTGCGCAATTTTTTTGACATTGCTGGTTGTTGGCTCCTTTGGGAAACGCAGCTTCAAGAGTTATCTACACGATGCTGATAGACGAGGTACGGTGATAATTACTTTATTTTATTTATTTTTTTGTTCAGGTGATTGTTTTTAAATAAAATCTATAAATTAAATAGATATGGCGCTTTTAAAATTATTTATTTATACACAGTTTTTTATATTGTTACATTTTTTTCAAAATTTCCATTTTGAAAATGCGAATCGTTATTATTGAAGTATGTGTATAAGTGGTGATTTTAGCCACTTTTAGGCTATTGTTTTAGTGAATTTTTTTTAAGCAGATTTCGTGCTTTCCTATGAGGACAATTAGTAGGATTTTCTGCAGGCAACTTTTGTTTACGTATGCAAATATTGTGGTTCATCTGTAGACAATGTTTGTGGTTAAAATGTGGTGTGACGTAGATGCCCCCACAATCTGTTACAATCGTTTGGGCCGAGTGTAACAATTGTAAATTTTAAAAAGTCCATTAAGCGAATCTGTATAATTTACTGGTAATTTTCACCAACACAAGAAACATGACAGTAAGAAAACGCACGAGTAGGTACACTCTTGACACCAAACCACATTGGTACACACACAGCTTCGTTCACACACTTGTTTTCAGGCTAGCACACCACTTTCAAGGGGAGGCCACTTTCACACACACTCTCTCCGTGCGTACACGTTTTCGATATAGACATCTATGTCGCAGTAGACAATGTTTGTGGTTGATCTGTACACAATACTTATGGTTGATCTGTACACGTTTGTGGTTAAAATGTAGACAACGTGTATTGTTAAAATGTAGACAATGTTTGTGGTTAACAAAAACCACGATCTGCTTTACTACAATTTAAACGGATATCCCCAGCCCTGAATTGCCAGCCAAATGAGTTCCCGTGTAAGGATGGCACTCGCTGTGTCCCCATGAAATGGACTTGTGATATGGAGGAGGACTGTGACGATGCCTCAGATGAACGTTTAAATTGCCGTGAGTTTTATTCATTATTTCCCCTTATTTTCTGTGGTACATGAAAGTCACTCGATAAAAAAAATATATGTATATAAATGTATTTATATAAATATATATAGCATATGTATAGTTCTATATATATGTATGTAAGTATATACATGTATATTTAACACGTTTAATATTGCTAACTCTTAAATGCTTTAAAAAATTTTAAAAATCAAACATGTTACTTTCGTTCTTTGGTAATAGCGTTGTCATTAGTTACATTTTTTTTCAAATTTAATCAAAATCAAATTTGTGTTTTATTGTCTTACTTTACATTTATTTAGTAAGTTTTTTATTGTAAGATTTGTATATTTTGTTTTGTTTTCTATTTTTTAGTATTTCGAAATTTTAAAGATTGGCTAATTTTTTAATTAATGTACCATATTTATTTATTTTTCTATTTTATTCTTAACTTAGTCGAAACTCCACACGACTAAAAAGTAATTGTTTCAACACACACAAAAATAACGTGAAATCTTGCTCTAATGATTAATTATCTGCCCCTTATTAGTGTCCTCGGTCGGCTCTCGTGTGTGAAAACATCAATGATAAGCAATTGCTTCTACTTATCTACTGTTATATCCAACTTTTTATTAAATATATTAATCGTTATTTTAATGACTAATTCAATATCTGACGAGATTTTTAAAAAAATATTTTTCTTGCGTTGTCATCGAAAAGAAATTTATTTTGAGAATGTAATCACGGCATCAGAAGTGGCTGAAAACTGATTAAAAGATTTGACCATTCGCCCATCCTGGCTTTGTTTTTCAAATACATCGATGTGTTTTTAATACAGTATATAATTTATGGGAATAAGGGAATGCTTATGTAGAAGATTTGTGTTTATGCCCAACACATGTTGCTTTTTCTCAGATAAGAAAGTAGAATCGTGACACTTGTCCGAAAAAGATAACCTTTTAAATTGCTTGGATATCTAGTGGGTTAATTAATTCTGATAAGAAAAAAAAAGTAACTTTTGAAAGCATAAAACACAAAGTTCAGTTAAACAGCATTTTAGTAACTTTAAAAATAAATTAAGTATGCTGTAATCCTGCATTTGAAATGACCGTGTCTGTATGTTTAACTTGACTATCTATTTACTTTGTGCTAAATCTAAACTGACCATGCCTGTATATTTAACTTAACCATCTACCTACCTTGCCCAGACTCTAAACTGACCTTGTCTGTATATTTAGCTTGACCACCTACCTATCACCACCTACCTGTCAGTATATTTAGCTTGACCATCTACCTATTTTCTCCCGACCCTAAACTGACCATGCCTGTATATTTAGCTTGACCGTCTACTTACTTTTCCTAACTCTAAACTGACCCTGTCTGTAACATTAGTTAGCTTGACCACCTACCTACCACCACCTACCAGTCTGTATATTTAACTTGTCCACCTACCTACCACCACCTACCTCTCTGTATATTTAACTTGACCACATAACTACCACCACCTACCTGTCTGTATATTTAACTTGACCACAAACTACCACCACCTACCTGTCTGTATATTTAACTTGACCACCTACCTAAAATCACCTATCTGACTAAACATTTAGCTTGACCACCCACCCTCTTCATCCTTACAGCAACTGACTGCTCACACGCCAACCAGTTCAAATGTGCCTCTGGAAACGAATGCCAGTCAAGGGATTTTGTCTGCGATGGTACCATCGACTGCCATGATGGGTCAGACGAACAAAACTGCGGTATGATTTCTGTTTGTTTGTTCGTTTATTTTTTGCTGGTTAGTACATGGCTAAGTGACGGTATCCTACGAGCTCACGCGATAGCAAGGCCTAGCGGTAGAGCGCTAGACTGCAATCCGGAAAGTTTCGCGTTCGAATCCAGGTTCAAGTCAGAAGAACGTCCCTGAGTCCACCCAGCTCTAATAGATACCTAACTTACCTTAGGGAAAGCAAAGGCGGCTGTGCATACCGAACTTCAGAATCCTTTTTCATAAACAGTCTTTGCTTAAACATCTTTTATCTTACACTATTTCTTAGCATAAACATCTCCTGATTTACTTTACTTTAGCATCAACATACCTAATTGTAAAACATTTAATCCTCGACATATCCTGTCAGAAAATATTTAAGGCTAAATTTCGTATACTTTTGAAAACCAGAAAACGCTTTCTTTAATAGTATAAGCATCAGTGTAATATACTTGTCTTTTGAAAGCTAGAAACCAGTGAGTCTTTTAAAATATACTTTGTTATTTCATGGAAATGGATGGCGGGCGGTAGACTCTCTCCCCCCCCCCCCCCCCTCTCATGAAGAGAAGCCTGAAAGAAACTGCCAAAAAAACGCTGTCGCTGATAATCTTATCCCTAATCATCAATGTAGCATTGTGATTTTTTTTTTAAAGCCGGAAAATGCATGAAATCAGTGTAACTCTTCTGTCATATATTTACAGAGAACTTCGTATGCCCTGACGGTGAAATCAAGTGCGACAACCACCTCTGTATTGAGGCGGCCTGGAAGTGTGACGGCTACGACGACTGCGGTAACAACTGGGATGAGACCGGATGCAGCGGTTAATTAATCAACCATCGATTTTACGATTTTACATATCACGTGCCAGTCTACATACATGCCCAAAAAATATATGCACATTCGAGTGTACTTGTTAAATTTGAGAATAAAAAGATACGTGACTAAGTATTACAAAATAAGTTTACAGAGATAGAAGATAAATAAATGTATTAATATGATCTACTTTGTATGGAACGTGATTTTGTAAATTATTAACTGCGTGCTTCTCTGCATTAGCATTATATATATATATATATATATATATATATATATATATATATATATATATATATATATATATATATATATATATATATATATACTAGCCGTTACGGCCAACTCCTACACTGACCTCTCTGTAAAACCTATCTGTAAAGGATCATGACTTGTATGTTTAGTAATCAGCATATACCCGGCTTTGTTCGGGTTTAGGGAATATATTACTTTTCGAATTAACCCTAACCACATTCAACCAAAACAAAACACACTGGGAAGCAGGACTTTTTATGTGTTTCATAACCCTAATTTCCATAATCTTGGAAACACCTACATCTTACAATCCGCTTTGCAGTTTACACAGGTATGGTCTTTTCGTGACCTAATTTTCTCTTTGTTTAAGAAGCGTCACGAGTCGGTGGCGGGGGTGCGGACCGCACTGGACGACACCATTTAGGGGGGGGGACACCATGGCGAAATATATAGAAATATGCTTTTTGCTAGTTAAATTAATAATAAATTAGACTTCATCCAACAGTATTAATAACTGACAATAGATAAACATCTTTACTATTAATTGTGCATATTTTAAAATTATCATCCTTAGATTTGTTGAGTATTTTGAAGAACTTATAAGTGAAGCAATCACCGGGGAGGTGGTGACACCAAAATCTAATAATTTAAGATGAAAACTAAGCTTTTTCCACAGGAATCAATAGGTGTATTAATATAATGTGCGCACAAATAGACGCCATTAAGCAACTATATAGGCCTATGTAGACCATAATATATATATATATATATATATATATATATATATATATATATATATATATATATATATATATATATATATATATATATATATATATATATATATATATATATATATTTGGCGGGGGTGACACCATTAGATGCCGCACCGGGTGACACCTCACCTAGCGACGCCACTGTGTATGTCATTTCATGCTAATTTAAAGTTAGTATTTAAAAGAACACGATGAATAGCGAGAGCGTTTTAACATTGTATTAAATTATATTATCTTACATAATTACAACCTACATACTAAATATTTTTCATGTGTTATAAATATTACTATATACGACATACACTCAAAATTAATCATAAGTTGATTTGCACTCTCGGAATATTTAATACATAACTATTAACAATTGCACGCAAATATACATTTGTGACTTTTTTACTTTCTCATATATACGAAGTTGGTTCCATTGCGACCGAAGGGTCCTGTATGCCGCAAGTGTTACATTGGTGATGTGTGGGCTATGTGGCGATCGAGGAAACTAATCCTACTATGTCAGTTAGTCACAATTTTGAAGCTCCTCCCATATCGAGAACAAACTATAATAGATTGACGATAGAAGCATGTGGTTGTATATAAAACGTTTATTGGGTCTAACTACATGATGATAACAGAGAGAGGACGGAAGTGACGAGAGACAACTATTTATATACATGTAAGGGACATCACTCAAGATAACAGTATAAATATAATACTAATACAAGAAGAGTGAGTTCCCTTGACCTCACAAGTCTCACTTTATTACATCCCTTTACCCTTAGTAAACACAACACATCTCTCAATAGAACAATTTACAGTATCCTAAAATCACCACTTATATTGTAACATGAACACTATGGTAGATTACATCCTTACAAACAATGCACAATATGCCACAACATAATCAAGATACAAAACAATGATGTCAAAGTCCTTTTGACCTTTAAAATCATAGGTCTAACTTATTTGGGACTTTGATTGTCCTGCTTGACCTTCTCAGTGGCTTTTGATTTGGTGACTCAAGATTCTGACCATATGGATTCTCTATCTCAGGAGGTCTAGGATTTAAATCATTAACTCCAGAATTTACATTTTCTGACTCTAGACAACTTGGTTCACTCATATCAACAGAACTTGGTTGTGGAACAAACTGAGTTGGTGTGAACTGATCAGATTTGGTGGGATTGATAGATTCACACTTATTATCTGCACAAGTTATTTTTAACTGGTCTGCATGTCTACGGACAATAAGTCCTTCATTTGTTTTTACTTTATAAGACACAGGTCCTGTACATTGAACAATTTGACCTGGTATCCATTTTTCCTTTCTCCCATAGTTTCTTAGATACACATTGTCATTAACACCAAATTCTCTTTCAATGGATGATTTGTCATGATTTACTTTTTGTGTATGTTGATGTTGGGAAACAGACCTTTGAACAGTTGGATGTAGTAGGTCAAGATGAGTTTTAATTTTCCTACCACATAGCAATTCACATGGTGCAACATCTGTTGTTATATGAGAAGTTGTGCGGTATTTGGCCAATAACCTGTTTACTCTTTCATTGTCACCTTTAGCTTCTTCTGTTTGGTATTTACTTTTGATGTTACCCTTTTAGTTTCTGTAAGTGCTAATGATGTAAGCAAAGTTGTTTGATGATCACATTCCTTCTTACTTAAAGCATTTGAAATTGCCATATCACCATAATCATTTATTAAGTTACAAATACTTTGTTTAGGCAACTCTGACTGATAAAGGACTGCATCTTCTCCATCTTTTATATTATCTTCACAAAGGTTTTTATTTCTTATTTAATATGGCTTTTGTTTTCTCAGGTTGAGGTCTGATGCCTTGTTTGCTCAATATATAACCAAGAAAACTAATTTATGTCAACATGAATCGACATTTATCTTTGTTTATCTTTAAACCTTTTTCACCAACAATTTTCAAGACTTTATCTAGTGTTTTAAGATGTTCAGTGTCATTCTTACCAGTTATGTACACATTGTCAAAGTACACACAAACATTTGGAATATCCTTAAAAATACTGTCCATGACAGCTTGGAAAATTCCAGGGCTAGATGATATGCCAAAACATAGTCTTTCATATTGGTAGAGTCCTTTATGTGTGTTTATTGTCGTATAGACTTTTGAATCTGGATGCAGTTCTAGTTGAGTGTAAGCATGACTAAAGTCTAATTCAGTGAATTTGTCTCCTCCTGCCAAATTCAAAGAAATTTCCTCAATGTTAGGAATAGGGTACCTATTTAGCTCTATTTGCTTATTCAGTGTAGTTTTATAGTCTCCACAAATTCTTATAGAACCATCCTTCTTTAACACTGGCACAATGGGCGTTGCCCAATCGGAATAGTCTACCTTCTTTATGATGCCATTAGATTCCAATCTACTTAGCTCATTTTCAATTTTATTCCTCATTGCATAAGGTGGAACTCTAGCTTTGCAGTATCTTGGCTTTGTGTCTTTAATGCTTAACTTCACTGTTCTATCATTTAGTAAACCTGAATTGCCAAAAACACTTTTATTTTCAGATATAACTTTATCTAGTGAAGTAAGACTAGATTCTCTTACATTCTTCAATGAACATATACTCTCCCAATTTAACTTAAGATCACTTAACCAGTTCCTACCTAGTAATGGTGGTCCATTTCCTTCAACCACAAGAATAGGAAGTTTAACGCTTTGACTATTATAACTTACATGAACCATACACTCTCCTATTACCGGAACATTGTCACCAGTGTATGTTGTTAGACACTTGTGACATGGTTGTAGAGGCACTGATCCTCCTGTGACAGCGTTAAAGTCCTTCTTTGTGATGACTGTTAGAGATGCTCCAGTGTCAAGTTGGAAGCTGATGCTCTTACCGTTGATATAAACTGGTACATTGATGGGAGCATGACTTATTGATTTCACAGAGAACAGGCTGAAATCCGGCTGCGAATCAGTTTGAGCATTTTCACAGGTAGAGTGGTTCATTGGTTGGGTTAGGTAGTCTTGGTGAGAGTTAACATAGTGCTGCCTTTGGTTGCGGTACTGTCTTGACTGGCTAGATTTAGCAACAGACGAAGACTTTGCAAAGCAGGCCTTAGCAATGTGACCTTGCTTACCGCACTTATAACAAGTTGCTAACTTGAACTTGCACCGATGAGATGCATGGGGACCTTTGCATCGATGACATTTTTGATAATTATTACTAGATTTAGATCTAGGCTTTAAACGTGCAGGCTGTTTAGCATAAGTTGAAATGCTCTGATGGGGTTGGTGTTTATTGACTAACCTGCTGTTTACTGCATGGATCTCTGAAGACGTTAGAGATTTCGCCGCCTCGGATGACTGCTGGAATGAAGTTGCTAGTTGTATTGCTTTTTCTAATGTTAGATCTGACTCGAGCAGCAACTTTCTTTGAATATCAGGGCTGTTTACACCGGTCACAAACTTTTCACACAGTCTGTCAGACAGCGTATCGCCGAATTCACAAAATTTACTTAAATGACGTAAAGCAGCAACATATTCTGATATTGACTCGTTTGGTTGACGAGTCCTACTGTCAAATCTAGCTCGACATAGAAACTTTGATGGGGTAGGCGCATGGTGGTCTGTTAGCAATTTGCTCAGCTCGTTAAAGCTCTTGGTAGTTAGACTAGCTGGTGCGCATAAGTCCTTTAGCAGCCTAAATTGTTGAGGCCCTATGACTGTTAACAAAACAGCTCTCTTTTTGGCTTCTATCGTCACGTTGTTTGCTTCAAGGTAAAAGCTTAACCTATCTAGGTAATCCTGAATGATTTCATCATTCGAATCAAATTCTTTTATTTGGCCATACAGCGCCATTATTCTAGAAATACTTAGCCAATAAGCTCTAGCAAACCTCTTTTTTGCGTAAGTAGGTGTTCTTTCTAGTAGATTTTTATCCTCGTCGCCAGATATAATAGATTGACGATAGAAGCATGTGGTTGTATATAAAACGTTTATTGGGTCTAACTACATGATGATAACAGAGAGAGGACGGAAGTGACGAGAGACAACTATTTATATACATGTAAGGGACATCACTCAAGATAACAGTATAAATATAATACTAATACAAGAAGAGTGAGTTCCCTTGACCTCACAAGTCTCACTTTATTACACAAACGAACTA